CATCCTCTTGTATTGACGTTGTTTCTCCTGCCTCATTGAACAGTATTCTATCATCTTGTATTGGCGATGCTTCTGCTGCCTCATTCAATAGTAATCTATCATCCTCTTGTATTGGCGATGCTTCTACTGCCTCATTCAATGTCAGTAATCTATCATCCTCTTGTATTGACGTTGTTTCTCCTGCCTCATTGAACAGTATTCTATCATCTTCTTGTATTGGCGATGCTTCTAGATCTACTGCCTCATTCACCAGTAATCTATCTTCTTCTATTTGCGATGCTTGTACTGCCTCATCCAACAGTATTCTATCACATTCTCCAGATGACACAGCTGATGATGTCAATTCACCGATGGATGCCTCCAAATCTAATCCCGTTGCTATTGTTATTGTTTGGTTTTGGATAGTGGACGATTGACTGTATGGAACTGGTTGTGCAGCTAATGGTCTTTTAGAGGTCTGGGTGTCCAATTGTTTTGGCTTAGCACTGCTGGCTGAATCTTTCTGATTCGAATATACTGAAACGTTCTGCTGTTTCTTATTCTGGTCACCAACGATCTGTTGAGGCTTCCCCCTTTGGGCTAGCCTAACAGGTCCAACGAAACTTTCCCGGGCTGACTTTATACGACTGCCATCAGCCCTGCTTATACTTGGGTTGGAATTCTCACTCATTGTTATGCTTCCACTAATTATTTGACCACGGGTCTTTGGTCTTATTTTACTTGAATCGTTAAATCCCTTATCTACTTTTCTTCCTTTTTCAGAAATTGATGGATCAGAAAGATATTTTCTCCCTGACACGTCAACAAGTTTAGCTCGATTAACAACGGAGTATGAACGGCTAAGTGTATGTGGTAACCCTCCTGGGCGAGTCGTCGATCTAACACCTGTTTTAGAGGAACTCGGCCTTTTCTTATTTGATATGCTGGCAGTTATTGACCTTGATGTCGAAGCATCAGATGATCTTGAATTCCGCTTGCTAGGTTCTTGCTTTGACAGATTTTGCAGGTTTGGCGCAATTAATGGGGTATTATTCGCTGCCGTGCCTTTGACAGTTCGAGAAATTGAAGTTAAACCCGTTCTTGTCGTGACGTCTTGGACGCTTCTTCGACTCCTGTCTGCAGAACCAGCAGAAAGTTGAGGTCTGCTACGAGATGCCTGCCCAGTTGCTGAAGTCCTATCTAAAGTGGCGTCTTGGACGCGTCTTCGAGACCTATCTGCGGAACTAGCCGAGCCTTGAGGTGTGCTACGAGATGCCTGTCCAGTTGCTGAAGTCCTATCTAAAGTGGCGTCTTGGACGCGTCTTCGAGACCTGTCTGCGGAACTAGCCGAGCCTTGAGCTCTGCTACGAGATGCCTGCCCAGTTGCTGATGCTGAAGTCCTGTCTAAAGTGGCGTCCTGGACGCTCCTTCGAGACCTGTCTGCGGCAATAGCCGAGCCTTGAGGTCTGCCACCAGATGCCTGCCCAGTTGCTGATGCTGAAGTCCTTTCTAAAGTGGCGTTCTGGACGCTCCTTCGAGACCTGTCTGCGGAACTAGCCGAGCCTTGAGGTCTGCTACGAGATGCCTGTCCAGTTGTGGATGCTGAAGTCCTGTCTAAAGTGGCGTCCGGGACGCTCCTTCGAGACCTGTCTGCGGCACTAGCCGAGCCTTGAGGTGTGCTACGAGATGCCTGCCCAGTTGCGGATGCTGAAGTCCTGTTTAATGTGGCGTCCCGGACGCTCCTTCGAGACCTGTCTGCGGAACTAGCCGAGCCTTGAGGTCTGCTACGAGATGCCTGACCAGTTGCTGATGCTGAAGTCCTGTCTAAAGTGGCTTGTCTGACGCTCCTTCGAGATATGTCTGAGGAACTAGCCGGGCCTTGAGGTCTGCCACCAGATGCCTGCCCAGTTGCGGATGCTGAAGTCCTGTTTGATGTGGCGTCCCGGACGCTCCTTCGAGTCATGTCTGCGGAACTCTCCGAACCTTGAGGTCTGCCACGAGATGCCCGCCCAGTCGCGGATGCTGAAGTCCTATCCAAAGTGGCGTCTTGGACGCTCCTTCGAGCCCTGTTTGCAGAACCAGCAGAAACTGGAGGTCTGCCACGAGCGGCCAATCCAGATGCTGATGCTAAATTTCTGTTCGAAGTGGCGCCTTGGACACTCCTTGGAGTCCTGTCTGCAGAACCTTGAGACCTGTCACTATAAGACAGCCCAGTTGTTGATGCTTTTGTAGATGATGAATTTTTTTCGGACCTCTTGCCGAAAGGTGGTCTCTTTGTTTGATCAGAAAATAGTTTTTTCGCCTGCCTAGGAAGTCCAATATCTACAAACAATCCTCCTGAAAAAGACATTCACAAATTTGAACAAAAAATATCTAATTGGCAAAACCAAACATCTATAATTTTGTAGGAAGCCTCTGTATTGAGTAGCAATGAAAATATGTGGATACAAGGAAACAGTACCTTTTGACTTGCGCACTTCATTTTGTGTTTTTGGACCAAGATGTTTCCAGCCCTCGGTATGAGAAACGCGGTGAAGATTGGAAACGATAAACTCCTGGCATCTGCTTTGAAGACTGTCGACTAACTTGTACGATTTCTGTGGAAAAACAAATGCAATGGTGAAAGATCTGAGGTGATGTTGTTAGAATTGTGAACGGCCATTTCATTTCAAGCGTTAAAGTAGCTTCCTCGATGAATTGGGGGGAAGTGGGGAGGGGGGAAGGGG